TGCGGTTGTAGACCAAAGACGTTGCGGCAGCCGAGCCTGTACAGTGCGTAGATGGCTCCGCGGGCCATGCCGCCCGGCGCTGACGACGAGGGCGGGTGTGCGCGAGGGCTGGACGTGGTGCGCGGGCTGAGGGCGCGGCGCAGGCACGTCAGGATGGAGCTCCAGTCGTTGTTGTCGCCGAAGAACTCGCGCGCTGTGCCGTCTCGTTCGCGAGCTGGCGTGGTCAAGGATGGCGCTGGTGCGGCCGCGTAGGGGGAGTAGCACGTTGATGGCGCCGATGGCCGTCGCGTGGTGTGATTTGACCTTGAGGTGGGGCATGATGGCGACCTTGAAAGGCGCTGTCAGGCAGGCGCCTCCGAAGGCGTCGGCGGAGCAGATCTGGTTGAGCGAGTCGAGTGTTGAGCAGGGCACAGCCTGGAAGGAGTGCGGCATGAAGGAGAAGTCGTAGGCGGCCGCGTGCATGGCCGGCGACAGGGAGTAGGAGACGTGCGAGCCGAGGACGTAGTATTGTAGGGGGTCTAGCAGGAACTGGCGGAAGAGGAGCTCGAAGGAGTGGGACGAGTTGGAGACGGTCGCGAGATGGTCACGCTCGTTCTCCATGTCCGGGTGCTTTACCGGACCAAGTATGCGAGTTTGCAATGGGGTACGCACGCCGAGGACGGAGAAGTCGTAGGCGACGATGTGGGGGCTTGGGGTCGGGAATGGCGTTGTTGAGGCGCTTCTTGAAGTGATCGAGATACTCGACCGGGCTGTCGTTGGCGCAGAAACGCACCATCCGGACAACGTCGCACCCGAGGGCTTGGGCGCGCCGGTAGTTGACCATCTGCTGCTCGTCCTGCCAAGGGGAGCGCCCCAAGCCCCATGTACCAATAGTTGCCGATGACCTTGGAATCTGCCCCGGCGCCGCATGGCTCGGCTCACCAAGGCTTCATTGCGTTAGTAGATCGAGGCTGACGTAGTCGACGCCGAGGCGGATACCTAACTCGAGCAGCTCCGCATCCATTGCATCTTTCTCGTCTGGAGGCCTTTCGGCGCTCTCCACGGGGGTTTTCCTCAACGTGGTAGATAATTGGGACGCCCAGTTTCCTCCTAATCAAAGCTACCTGTCGTGCGACAACGTTCAGGAGGTCGTCGGGCCAATGGTCGATAATAAGCTCGACGCAGTCGCCCCTCGCCTCGAAATCCTCCCATTCTAGATCCATGTCCATAAGATAGGATAATCGGAGCCGCAGCGAGTATGAATAGGAGCGGAATTCCGGGGGTACCGCAGCGACGGAGAAGGGGCTTTCTAACCACGCCTTGGTAGCACCGCGCCCTGTGATGATGTCGAGGAATTTGGCAAAGCCTTCCTGTACGGATAAGAGTTTTGAGGGCCCAGGTTGCAGGCCATTCATCGGTGTGCTCGTCCCTGAAGGTGGTCCCCGATGTAGGGGGAGGAGTGGAAGGAGTCGTAGAGGATTATAATATTCGAAATTGGAACAGTTCCTATGCTTGCTGTCGGCCTCCAACAGTTGCTGGGCGTCCCCCGGGTCCATCAGGCGGGCGATCTGCTCTTTCTCACGGTGGATGTACACCACGGGGTTTGTCCTCGAGTACTCACGTAAGGCATCCTGAGCCTCCTCGCTAAAGCTGCTCATGCCACACTCGATGATGCACCCGGACCGGTTTGTGTCCAGCATGCGTTTGAACACCTCGATGTTCTGGCGGGCGAAGTGGTCCCTGCCGTGCCTGGCCAAATACTGGCCGCGGGATAACCCTGTGATCTTTTCAAAATAGTGGTCCTCGGTCACCAAGCGCCGCCGGAGGTGGAGAGCGCCCATGAAACCCAGGGTACGCTTGCCAGCCCCCCGGCAGCCGACGAGCACGATGGAGGCATTGGGCTCAAAAACGCGTTCATTCCTGGGCGGGGCCATATTCGGGTACTTGAACCGCGGCGAGTGCCGTTACCACGTTTCGTAACTATTTTCAGTAAACGCCAATTGGAGGTGTTGATGATGGTTGATGGTCCTAGGGTGGTGGTAATGGTGGTCGGTCAGGTTGCGTCGAGAGAGAGAAGGGACATTTCTTCGTTGATTGAGACGGGAATGAGCATGGAAGAAGCTATGTTTGGTCAATTATTCGGTTCCTATCTCCCTTGCCTTCAAAATAAAGGCCTAGCCGGTAGTCCCCATCCTGATGTTGAATTTGTCGGCAGATTAGTCGGGATTGTCTCACGGGGAAAAATGTAGACCCTGATGTCGATCCCCGCTGCCGTTGCCCCACTGCCTCAACTCGATCCCCGGCTTTCGGGGGAGTGGGTCTCCCCGCTTCGGCGCCAGTCGCAGCTTCCCAGGCCGAGTCTGGCCCTCGATGCTGCACCAATGGCTTGCCACCCACACCCCAGCACGCTGATGTTGAAGTTTTATTACTGTGTCGGTGCATGGAAGTGAGGTGTTGCATTCGGCCGTTTATTAGGTAGGTCAGCGCCCAGAGCCAGCCAGAGCTTCTCTCTTTCCGCCCGTAGCACCCGGTCCCACTTATTAACACTGTGCCCGTAATTTTCGCTGACGAGCCCCACGTTTCTGTTGATTCAGCTGTTTCTCTCCAACCAAACCGGTGAGAGAGTGAGAGAACATCAATTTTAGTTCAGGTCCACGTTGCATCGATTGGTTATCCCTAAGCTTCATTTAGTCTCTTCACCTCAAAATATTGCCCTCGACCGCATGGACTTACTTGCAGTTTACGGTAACTCAAGATGGAGCTAGCCTTGGAAGAACCGGCCATCGGCGGTCAGCCGGGACAGCGACACCTCTCACAACAACTTAAACAACAACCCACTGCTACTTCATCGCCCAAAAGTGCAGCTCCGGCTAGTGATGCCGGGGCGGACGCTGGGAGTGAGCCGCCCATCAACCCGCGCAAGAGAAAGAAGGCATCTCGGGCGTAAGCTACTCCTTTGTCATATAGCACCCCCCAACCTCTCCCCCATCCACCTTGTTTACTAAACCCTAACTCAACTAACTCACACGCCCACCCTAGTTGTGACTTCTGCCATGTCAATCACCAACCGTGCGACAACGGCAAGCCCAAGTGCGGCGTGTGCACCAAGCATAACAAGCCATGCTTATACCTGCGACCGACTAAGCGCCGCGGCCCGCAAAAGGGCTACCGCACCGCCCTCAACAGCTACAAGGAGAGCGCCGCCGCTTGGGGCGCCGTGCTGGGCGCCATCCCAGGCCTAGACGCCCTCATCGAGGGCCACCTGCGTGCCACCGCCGGCAACGCTGTCATCGCCTCCATCAAGGACTCCAACCAGCAGGACGCCCTCATCGCCAAGTGGCAGCAGAGCTCCGTATTCAAAGCCTTCTTCGGCCACAACGGCCCGCCGCCGGCGCTGCAGCAGCAGGCCGCTTCGGAGAGCGGTGCTGGGGCGGGGGTGAGGGGGAGCCCTGCGGTTGCGCCGCTGTCGGAGGAGGCTGAAGGAGGATGAAGAGCCTGGGTATGA